CAGGAATAAAAACAAATGAGAAAAGCCAAAATGTGTTTCACACTGATAGAAACAACCAGAAACAGACTGATTATGAATGGCTTTTATATTTAAAACTCTTCACCCCAGTCAAATGGAAAGCTTGCACATTTACCTGGATGGAAAAGTCATTTCCAGCTCCAAGTCACTAATTAACCTGCCTTTCTAGAGGACACAGCATCACGCAAGGAATTCAGCCCAGCCTTAGAGAGGTTGGTATTGAAAACCCATTTTCTATCTCAGAGGTGGTGCAGCAGCAGGACATAAAGCTACCTAAGGACAATACACTGCAAAATTTGTATTTTAAGAAAGGGATGTCAGAGCAGCTCCTACTTTTCTATACCAGTATCACAGCTGGCTGGTAACTGCACGAACGCCTCATCAGCTGCATGTGTTTCATGGATCTGCGAGCTAAAGCTGGGGTGATCCCAGGAATGTGTTACCCACGCAGGCAGGTGCTCAGCACAGCACCGCTGCCCTCTGCTCCGCACCCCAGGCACGGCCGTGCCGCTGAAAGCCGGAGAGCGAGAACGGTAAGACATTAACTACCCGTAATCAGCGTCCTTGTCTAGGGCTGCACAAAACTGACGTTCCCTGGGTTAGTCCCTGCCCTGCTTTAAAGTGCACCAAGTGCTGGAAACAATTTTAGGATTGAAGCATTATAAAGGAAGCATAGAGACCTTCACGCTTCAGGCTGGAGGGGAGAGCTGGGCATTGTACCTACCCAACAGAGCGTTTGCCTGTCAAAATCAAGGGCAGTTTAAGTTTTTCTTTACGTGAAAATATTGCTCCGGACATAGAATGGTTACTCTACGGAACATTTCACTAAGTTTTTTTTCAAACCAGAAAAATATTCAACTTTTCCAAAGTCCTTCTGTTTTCTCCCCATTCGTCTAACAACATTTCTACTGTAACTTCTTTACCACGCCGTGGCCATGCCTTTCAAAAATTCCCCAACGTCGGGAAAAATACAAGTAGTAGCAATGCAGCAAAGTGCATGCAATCACAGATCAGGGTCAAAAGAGCCTGGTAATGCCAACGCCCTCTCTACGAGTCCCTGAACAACAAATATATGGGCCAGCACTTCACTGGAGTTACCAAAAGGAGGGGTGGCTCCCTATCAAGACATTTACATTTCCCTTTAACATTATCCCGACGGGCTGGTAAGCTGAGTAGCTGCTCTCCCCACCCTGATAGCATCAGATCGAGTAAGAGATACTCCACCTCCCTATAAACCTGACGTGCTGCTGTGGGAGCTGGTTTGTTTACAGACGTACCAGGCAAACCTCGTCTTCAAGAAGCAGAAAGCAATGAACACAGCCCCGAGCAATACAAGTCTGAAAGACCTTCCCGCAAACCCAAGCTGCATGAAAAAAAACAAACCCTAAGCATTACTTAAAAATATGTCGCTGCTGGCAATCCCAGAAAGTTGGGTTGTTGATGGCTTAATTGCATTTCTTAATCAACTAATAACTACGCCTCTCTGAATAAACCCTGCGGAAATCGCAATAGAAACTCAGGCTGCTGGGAAAAGCACGGCAGCAGCAGGGGTCAGAGAAACAACCACCCTCGGAGCGTTCGGCTTCTTGACAAACTGCAGATTTAGGGAATAGCTGAGAAATAAAGCGAGTGCTCGCAGGCAGGGGGCTCGGTTTGGTCAGACTGAGGAGAAAACATTCAGGAGCCAAAGCGAGAGAGGAGCTGATTGCCAGGACGAAGCAAAGGCTGAGTCACTCCATGTTAAAGGCTTGGGGATAAGAGGGGACACTATTTTGCACATTATTTCCCAAGGGCCTCCTGCCTCCGAGAGGCTGTCTCCAGCCTTGGGGCACACCGCAGAGAGGTGTTAGGTGGGGTTGGTACCGTCATGCTGGATGCCCCAAGCATGGCATCGTCCACACCCACTGCCATCCTACCGAGGGCACCTCTCTCATGTCGTATGCCCACGCTCCACACGCGGCTGTGGGGTGGGAGGGAGACTGCAGGATGATGGTGAAGCACAAGCCAAGCTGTGCTGTCCAAGGAGAGAGCTAAACATGTCCCTGTGATGGAAAGCGCTGATCCTGGGTCCCACTGGGAACAGACCCCCAACGCATCGTCTCCTGGACCAAGCCCTTCTGCTTGGGCTCTTCCACTCAGGTAAGCAAGTTTGTACACATATGATTAACACTTCTATGCAAGTCTTGTCTCAGAAGAGGGCATTTTGATTATACTTCCATTTTATGTTTCGTCCCTCCTCAACTCTCCCCCTGTTCTGCTGCCAGGCTGAAGCTCAGCATGAGAAGCTGTAACGTACCTCGGGGGCTGGGAGAGCTGGGATCACTCCAAGCTGCTAAATGCACAGCTGTCCTAACGCCATCCTAAATCAGAGGCAGCAAGCAAGGTTGTGCAGAAGGGCAGCCATTCTTGGGGGGGAGAAACAGAGGACATCCAGGCAAGGTAACCCCTCTGCACCTTGCTGAGAAAGGCCAGGAATTCCCAGGCTCATGATGGCCCCGACACTGTGCAGCCCCCACCTCCTCCCCTATGCCGTACCACTGCTGTGTCCAGCCCCAGGCTACTCCTGCGTGTACAGCACAGAAGCATTTGGAAGATCAAGGTCACAATTTTAATTTCAATTTCAACGGTGAAACATCTGCCGCCTCCTGTAGTGGGAAATGAAGGAAAAAAAAAATGCCATCATCAGTAAGGCATTTGCTCCGAGTTGATTCTTGCATGGGGTTTCTTTTCTCTGATTTACGAAATTACCTGTTGACAGATTCAATTTTACCATTAGAAAAAACACTTTCAGACAAGAATTACTCTG